TATAGTACCAAAATACATGATTTTTCATGTTATCTTAGAAATACAAAATTAAAGTGTGCAATGAATTTCATCTTAATTTTATTCACTGACCTAGTTCAGTTAACATAACAATGTTAGGATTAGTGATGTATCCATTATAAACAGTTCCTCCAACAGTTATCATCCAAACACAATGAGGACTCATAATGAACACTGAGAGAGAATGAGCATATCTCTCACTAACAGATTGAGGTACATCTAACTGTTAATAGAAATAAAATAATTTTCATGCATCTCACTGTACATACCTTTATCCAGGAATGTTGTGTGATGTTAAAGATCCAACAATCATCTAATACATCCCTGTCCTTATCCTCCCCACCACTTATCACTAGCATAGGACAGTCTGATCCAGTTATAATAATAGCACTTGCATGATCCCATCTACCCACAGGCCATTGGTCTATTGCTATAGGTTTCTTAATACACTGCCAGAACTAATAAATAAAAATAACCACACCCATTAACAATGACATTAGTGTGTGTGTGTGTGTGTGCATACATTCAGTACACAAAATTTACATACCACAGTGCTGATTGATATCTCTAATATATAAATATTGTTAGTGAAACTATCCCCACCATCATAATCAATCTCTCGTCCACCAAACATAATAGCTCTAGTGTTGTTAATCTTTTCAATGATGAAGACACTAACAGGTGGTATACACTGACCAGTGATCGAAGGATTACTCCATCTTCCTAAATTAAAATTATTTACATAATTATAAAAACAGTAAATTTGTAAAATCTTACTTGATGATATATCATATATTGAGTGCTCATTGGTACGCCATTTTCCATTGAGTAATTCACAATACCGGTACTTACGTAGATCTATTTGTACAGCTGGTTTAGATCCTACTCCTCCTATCATTAGTAAATGGTGTGCTCCATCATGTTCAAATGATATCATTCCACCATAAGCTCTCCTCATAACTGGTCTAGTTGCATCAGTTGGTTCTAATTCTCTCCATTGAAGACTAACAGTATCCAGTTGTGTAATACTGTTGTGATAGCAGTACCCACCATGACCATGGCTA